TTGCTCTAAATGAAAAGTGTTTATTGTTGAATTTCCCATCTTTTTAAGTCAATTTGGGTTCACTTTCAAGCAAATTCGAGAGTGAAAACGGGTTTTTCATAAAATCTATAAAAACCTCTATAAAGAAATTGGCTGAATCAATTTCTCTGAAAATCTGAAAAAATATCTAACTTTTTGTGCTCTATCTTTTATTTATTAACATCAAGATTGGTTTCCTTAGCTAAAGCGTCTAAAATGCATCATCGAGCCGTCGCCTTTTTTGACTACCCGACTTCAGGCTCTCAAAAAAATCTAGACATAACACATTTTAAACTCGTTTTAATGTCATTTTGCAGAAAAATAATTGGCCTTTCGAATGCAATAAACCGTTGTTCAATTGGTGCATTTGTTACTTTTTAACGGAAGTACGAAAAAAATGAAAAAGACTTTTGCATCAACCTAATATATAAAATTACGCGTAGATTTTATGATTAATTGTTTTTTTTTTGGCTTAGATTCAGGTATTGGCTTAGAAAGCCAAAAAATGGATGAAATTTAACATTATAAATGCCTTACCTGTAATACTTGGCATAGTAGACAAGCAGATTTATTAGGTTGTTCGGATATAAACAAGCGTTACTAAACTTATTCTTGTGAGGAAAGCTTTTAAAACATGTCTTTCTGTATTTAAAATACGTTATCTTGTGTATATTTGGAATCTTTTTAAAGGGATAATTTCTTATTTTTAAGACCTTTTTTCTTGCTTTAGATGACCGACTTCAAACATCAAGTTCGCATCTGCCTACTTTACGACTTCAAACTGGGCAAAACAGTCGCGGAATCCCATCGAGATTTGGTCAAAGCATTTGGGAATGATGTATTGTTCGAAAGCCGATGCCGAGCCTGATTCCAACGCTTTCGGAACGGTGATGAAAGTCTCGAGGATCATGAACACTCTTGTCGACCTCAAGTGGTGGACAACGATATTTTAAGGTCTGCAATCGAATCGGATCCATGTCAAACGACGCGTGAACTTGCTCAACAGTTTCTAAGTTCAAATTCTACCATTGATGAGCATCTCCACACCATTGGAAAGGCGATCAGATGCGGGAAATGGCTTCCTCACGAGTTAAGCAGTGCAAACGCTCGTTTATATCCGAACAACCTAATAGATTTCATAAACAAATGCTTTTCCTAAAAATCCCCAAAAAGCTTCTCTCTTTCTCAAAAAGCTCAGGTGTTGCTCGTTTTTCGTTCTTTTTGTTTTCATCTTTCATTTTTCATCTCTCTTTTCCACAAAACGACTCGAGAGCGTAATCGTAACGCTCACTTTCAACACTGTTACAACAAGTGAAAGAGAGTTCTAGAAAGGCGGAATTGAATTTGTTTTTGAGAAATAGAAATAGCTCATTCAAAGAAATAGCTCATTGTAAGCTAGAACCATTTTTAGATAAAAGACTGGAAATGGTTTTCCTTGTGTTTTGTGTCTAAAACAAAAAAAAATTCCAGCCAACCGGATTCGAACCAGTGACCTAAGGATAGCTGCTCGCTCTACAGTCCTCCGCTCTACCAACTGAGCTATGGCTGGGCGAGGTGACGGGTGGGAATTGAGCTTATCTTTGATCGAGAGTCAATTTGGCTCTCTAGTCTTCGAGGCAGCCGGTTGAAATTGAGGTTATCTTTGAGTCGATTTTCTGACTAGAGTCGATTATCTCCTTTGTCGGGTGGCCGTTCTAAAGCCCGTCCCAGCTACCGTAATCCCTCTGGATTATTGAATTTCTTACGGATTACGGTAGCGAATTGATTTCAACAATTTAGTAAAAAACAAGAAAAAATTCCAGCCAACCGGATTCGAACCAGTGACCTAAGGATAGCTGCTCGATCTACAGTCCTCCGCTCTACCAACTGAGCTATGGCTGGGCAAGAGAAGGGCTTGAAATTGTGCTTATCAATTGGTAGAAATTGATTCCTTAAGCCTCGGCTAATCGCTCAAAAGCATGTCCAAGCTACTAAACTATTAAGCGGATGACTGTAGACGTAATTTGTTACAGATTACGGTAGCTGAATCAAGCTTTTAAAACGCCAATTAACTCTAATCTATTTAGGCTTAAATTCAGCTGAATAACTTTTAATCTATAGGTAAATTTCAAGGTATCAAGTTCCGGAGAAAGTTTTCGTCGATTTTTTTGAAGAGGGCCTTAAACTTATCCAATTTTATCGTGCAATATCTCATTCAAAAGCTAATTATCTAGCGGATTGAATGGAAAAGACTCTTTATCAATTCATCAACTTTTAAAGTTGTTGCAGCCGTTTTACTGAGACGCCATTGAGCTTAAATTCCAAAAAAATGGATTTTATTGGTTTTTTCGCTTGGAAACCTGTACGGAAACCTGTACGGAAACCATATTTTTTGGAAACATCGTTAAAAATTACTCTAGAATGGAATCAAATCGTTTTTTAGCATTGAATAAAACTGATTTGACCTCGAATCGAACCCTCGATTACCATAAAACCTTTTTTCAATGTTTTCCTAAATTTTCTTACATTTAATCATTCATATTTCTTATTCTTTGGTTGGTGGTCGCTTTAAAAGCCTGTCCCAGCTACCGTAAACCGTCTGAATTAATGAATTTCTTACGGATTACGGTAGCTGATTGATTTCAACAGTAAAAAAAGTAAAAAACGAGAAAAACTTCCAGCCAACCGGATTCGATTGGTTTGTTAAGCCGCTCTAAAGCATAGCTGCCGTAATCCCTCCAATTGGGTTACTACATCATCTACTAATTGATTAGGGTTACAGTAATCGGGTCAAGCTTTGAAACGACAGTTAGCCGAGAGCTAATTCACTTCAATTTCTCTGAATTTGTCTGTTTCTCGAATATGAATTAATCTACTGGAAAATATTGTAGATTTCAATCAATTCTAACCATTTCGTAATTTTTAAACCATTTTTAACTAAATTATCGGACTAGAACACACCCTTTTGTCAGTAATGAACCAAAAAAGCAAAAGAATTCCAGCCAACCGGATTCGAACCAGTGACCTAAGGATAGCTGCTCGCTCTACAGTCCTCCGCTCTACCAACTGAGCTATGGCTGGACGAGAGAAGGGCTTGGAATTATGCTTATCTTTAATTTGGCTCTCTATTGTTGGTCCTTTCTATTGTTGGGATTTTTAGCTTTTTCTTATAGCTTTGACTGATCCTAGCCTCATCTATTGCATTGTTCTTAAACTATTGTTAGCCCTGGCTTGGTCTAGTTGATCCTGGCCCTCGCCCTGGCCATATTGTCGAGTGCATAAGCGACAACTTCTACAGTTTCATAATCGCACCCAGGTTTTCAAACATTTCGAACGTAACAATAGCAGTAAAAAACAATCAAACAGTGTTTTTTGTGATATTTTGTTCGTTTAAACGTTTAAATCTCAAATTTTGTGTATTGAATACCCTGCGTATTGTGCAATTCTCCATTTGGGGTTGTTTTGTTCTGTGTTTTAACGTTGAGACCAAATTCTTGCAAATCCGTGTACCTTCAAATGTCAAACTCAACGTTTCCGTCTTTCCATTGAGCCGATTTCTCAATCAGTTGTTTTTCTGGATTTCCTCTATTTTTCTCTCATCAAGTGAATGATGCATGGAAGTGAAAGAAAGAAAAAGAGGAGAAGAAGAAGATCAAGAAAGGAAAAGAGGTGAAGAAGAAGATCAAGAAAGAATAAAGAACCGATTGTGAGCTTTAAATCTTTGATCGGATGAGTTAGAGAAAATCAAAACTAAATATAGACTAAGAAGAATATGGAGTTTAGAGAAAACTAGAGAAAACTAGAGGAATCTAAAGGCCATGGCCAAGGCCAAGGCCATGGCCAAGGCCAAAGCCAAAGAGGAATCTAAAGGCCAAGGCCAAGGCCAAAGTCAAAGAGGAATCTAGGCAAAGAAGCTAAGGAATCAAAGAGAAAGAGAAATCAAAGAGTTTTAGCTTTAAAAGCTAAAGCTAAAGAGAACTTAAAAAGTCTTTTAAAGAGTGATTTCTTTTACAGATAGATAGTTGCAGTTTAAGAGAAAACGAGAAGAAGAGAATTGAGAAGATTGCGGTGGAGAGGAGGGATAGCTGAAAGCTTGGATCGTCCTGAGATTTGTGGGGGTAAAAGGGGATGTGGGGGCTGTTACAGCACACTTCTTGGGCACACTAGCCGCCCCGTTGCGGGGAGATGGATGCGAAAAAATGAGACAAAGAGGCGTAGAGAGAGAGAGAGGACAAGGTGAGGCTAGGCGGCTGTCTCAGAGCTGAATCGCTAGAGACGCAGAAGCTGAAGGAAATGGATTGTAACCCAAGGCGCCAAGAAGCAACGAGATTTTTAGCAAAGAGATTCTGGTGTAAGGATGTAAGGATTAGAGAAGCTAGGGTGATAAGGGCTTACAGATTTAGAGAAGGTAAGAGATGAGATCTTAAGGCTAAGAGATTTGAGATCTTCTAGCTAGAGATTTGAGATGTTAAAGCTAGAGATGTGAGATCTTATACAGAAGATTGTAGATTACAGAAGACAGAGAAATCTGGATTTACATGATTTTATAGACTTAGAGAAGCTATAGGACTTTAGGAATAGAAAGATGCAGTTAGAGATATTCAGTTAGAGATAGTTAGAGATATTCTAGTTAGGAAGCCTTCGAAAGAAGTGAACTAGAGAGATTGAATATCTTAAAGAGACTCTGAGAAGACAAATATAAGAAATATAGATCTCATAGATACCGAGGAGAGAAAAAAAGAGTTGAAAGAAAGGGCGGAGTCAGTAGTGAACTGAAATATTGGATGGATTAGAGGATTGGATGGATAGAGAGCTTAAAGAAGGCAGAGAGGGCCAGATAGAGAGCTTAAAGAAGGCTGGGACTTGGGTGAGACTTATAGAAATATAGAAAAAGGATCAAGGAGAGAGCAAGGGCCAAATTGTGGCTGGACAGAGATCTAGAGTGATGTACAGAGATCCAAGAAGACTCAAGAAATTGTAGAGGCTGGCCATGGCAAAAAGCAATGCCTCTCGATTCTCAGCATCTCCTCAAATCAACAATCCATCCCATTCCCCTTGTTGATCCCTATTTCTCAACTTTTCACTCACTCTTGCCCAGTTTCTAGATCTCTGAAGATCTGGAGCTCTGGAGCTCTATGTCTCTCAGCCTCTCCCCCCGCCACTCAGCTCCGATCGGCAGAACCCCTCACTGATCTATCCAAGATCCCAGACCCAACCTTGGTCTAACTTTTTGTGTATTTCTTCTGTAATCTGTTCTGTCTTCAATTCTACAATATTTACTTAGCTTTCGAACAAGTCTTTGCCTCATTTTTTGCTTCTTCTTTGCTTCTCCTTTGCTTCTTCTTTGCTTCTTTACCATCCATTTTTGAGTGCTTCTTTCTAGATAGCGTTTAACCCAAGATCCATATCGATTTTATGTTTTTTTAAAAAGATAATGATTGAATAAAGATCGTATTTGATTATTGTAGTTTGAAAATCGCTTTAAATTGAATAAATTGATCTGCTAAAAGGTGTTAAAAAAGGTACTAAAGAGGCATTGCTTTTTCCTCGACTTGCCATGGCCAGCCTCTACAATTTCTTGAGTCTTCTTGGATCTCTGTACATCACTCTAGATCTCCAGCCACAATTTGGCCCTTGTTCTCTCCTTGATCCTTTTTCTATATTTCTATAAGTCTCACCCAAGTCCCAGCCTTCTTTAAGATGCTAAAAAAGTAGCATCAAAGTTTCTTTAAAAAAAAAACGATTTTGACTTTAATTTCTTAAAAAAATCGTTTAATCTGAAAAGGAAAACAAGAGTGAAAACGAAAACGAAAGTTAAGAATACGGTAGTTTAATTGAATTTTAGTAAACTAGAGCTAATTTCAAAGATATTCGATCAGAAGCTTTTGAAATTTTTGATCAAACTTGGAATTCGTTTTTTTTATGGATATTTCTATTTCTATTGAAAGCTTATCTTAAGTTGTTATCTTTTTTATTCCTTTTTTATTCCTTTTTATCCCTTTCTTAAGAATTTCTATGACTTTTATCGATTAATTTCTTTCGTTCAGCGCGTGAGCTCAGCGACCGACCCGTGCCGGCGTGTGAGAGAGAAAAAAAGGAGAAGAGACTCTCAAATCTCGCTTTTTTTCCGTGTGTGCGTGTGCTTCTACAAAGGTATTTGCATTGAAAAGCTAGAAAAGTTTGAAAAGCTGAAAAATTGATGCAATTGAATTGATAAACTTCAATTCAGGTATACAAATGCAATAGCTAACATAGAGAAATTCCGCACAATACCCTCCAGAATTGCACTTGTTTTAAGAGCTGCTTTAAAAGAGCTGCTTTAAAAGAGCTGCTTTAAAAGATCTGCTTTAAAAGAGATGTTTTAAAAGAGCTGCTTCAAAAGAGCTGCTTTAAAAGATCTCCCTTCTAGTGTACTGAATTCTACAGTTTTTCTACAGTCAGCAACTAGATTTTGAAGAATTGAGTGCACCAGGAAGGGTGTGTTTACAAGATGAACCAAAAATGGGGCAACTAATCAAAATCTAGACATTGTCAGTGTTCCTAGGCTTGGCTTAGGTTTAGGCTTAGGCTTGGTTTAGGCTTGGTTAAGGCTTTGCTAAGGCCTGGTTTAAGCTTGGCTTAGGCTTGGCTTGGTTTGGCTTAGGCTTGGCTTAGGCTTAGGCTTAGGCTTAGGCTTAGGCTTACTGTAGGATTGGGAGTAGGGTTGAGCTTAATACTAAGTTCCTAGCTTACTTCCTAGCTCAGTGGCGGCTTACTGTAGCTTTATGGCTGGGTTACTGTAGCTTGGTGGCCGGCTTAGGCTTGGCTTGGTTTAAGCGTGGCTTAGGCTTGGCCTAGCTTAGGCTTAGCACAGGCTTGGTTTAGACTAGGCTTAGGTTTAGGCTTCGACTTAGGCTCAGCTCAGGCTTTCTTTCGATTCTCGATAAGAATTAGGGAAAGTACACTTCAATCGATTGTACAATTAATCCGTTTTTTCTTAAATTAGCATATCAATCAAGCAATCAAACGATTTATCAAAATTAGCAGATCAATCAATAAGTCAAAGTAACCTTGATCAATCTAGATATCTTTTGATTCAAATCCATTTCCAGGAAATCAACAATGTCCAATCTCTACAGGAGCCCCTCGTCGGCTCAGACAAATCTCGTCTACAAGGTGGTTACAGTAAAAAAAAACTTACAACTTGAAAGTTGAATTAGCAAGTTTAAACTATAACTTGAAAGTTACAAAATTTGATAAGTTATAAGTTTTATGTTGAATCTATCAAGTTCTAGAAGTCCTTTCAAGGATAAAGATTAAAAGATAAAGATAAAGATTCTTCAAAGAAATCCTTTCCTCTGTAGATTCCATCTGTTTGGACAGTTAAATTTTCGTTTGTCGAACATTTGATCTGCGCCGCCCCCTTGCCATTGGCAATCAAACTTTGAGCTCAAAATTCTTGATGTTTGGCTGAGCAATTGAAATGTTTTTGGTATCATTAGATGCGTCAAGACTTTTTCTATCGATTGATACAAAAAGTATTCAAATTGGACAACTGAGCACCAAGAAATTTGAGCTTAAAGTTTGCTAGTGGCAAAGGGTCGTCTCTTTCCCGTTGCCGAACTTTGAGCTCAATTTTCTTGATGTCGGGTTGTCCAATTGAAATCCTTTTGGTATCAATAGAATCCCCAAGTCTTTCTCTATCGATTGATACAAAAAGTATTCAAATTGGACAGCCCAATGCCAAGATATTTGAGTTTAAAGTTAGATTGCCAACGGCAAGGCGGATCAGATGTCCCAGAATCAACATTTCTGTACATTTACCTATAGAAATCCTATAAAATACTTTATGTTGATGTAAAAACTCTATCTATAAACAATATTTTTCTATATTTTTATGTTCAGAGCACTTCGGTGTCAGCCTTTGGTGCTCCGTTCGGCTCGATGGCGGTCGCCGACTTGGGTTCACTCACGCGTCTCGAGGTTTCTTTTAAAATTAAATTATTATATTTTAATCTTTAAATCTCTAAGCTTTCTGTTTTATCGATTTTAATCGATAAAGAACCCTTGGATATCAAGTTTTTAAAGATTTTTAAAGATTTTTAAGATCTTTAGATCAAAAAATTCGTAATGTTTCAATTTTGAGCAGCTTATTTTCTTTTGTTTCTCATTCTCGTCTTTTATCCAAGCTTTACAACTGGTTTATAACTGGTTTAAAACTGGTTTACTGGTTTAAAACTGGTTTAAAACTGGTTTAAAACTGGTTTAAAACTGGTTTACTGGTTTAAAACTGGTTTAAAACTGGTTTAAAACTGGTTTACTGGTTTTAAACTGATTTTAAACTAAAGTTACTTTAGAAAAGTACTTAGTACTACCAAAGTTACTTTATAAAAGTACTTAGTACTACTAAAGTTACTTAGAGAACAATTTTTAAGTACTATTTTAATCTTACATTGATTCTTTATGAATACAATAGTCTCGATCAAGTGTTTTCTTTTAGAAACCTTTAATTTCTTGTGCTCTAATAGCAATCAGGCTTTAGAAATGCTTAGAACTAAGTACTTACCGTATTCTCTCTAATAGTAGTAGTCTCTAATCGTAGTGGTCTCTAATCGTAGTAGTCTCTAGTAGTGCACCCTGAGAGCCGCCTAAATTCCTCGAAATCTCGAAAAGCGCTTATCAAAACCTATTGATGTGGGGTTGGAAAATGTAGCTGACGATGAGATCTAGTGGGGGATTTGAGTGTTGAGCTTCTGTGAAAGCTGTGAAAGCTGTAAATAGTCATCAACTCGGCTCAGCACTCAGCACTACTATTAGAGAGTATACGGTTTATATAAAAGTTAAAGCTATATATATAATATCTAGATTAACATCTAGAACATCTAGAAAAACATCTAGAACATCTAGAAAAGCATCTAGAACATCTAGAACATCTAGAAAAGCATCTAGAAATCTAGAAAAGCATCTAGAACATCTAAAAAGCATCTAGAACATCTAGAAAAGCATCTAGGACATCTAGAAAAGCATTTAGAAATCTAGCTCAACATCTAGAGAACCTTGGCTTAAACTTCATTTAACAAAAATGATCTCAAAAATCGATATCATTAAAGAAAACCAATCTATTGGAGGTGTAAAAGCTTTTTTTCTCATATTTTTTTGGATTCATGCTCATCAATTGATCTTAGATAAAAAGAAAAGAAAAAGAGTGGAAAGAGTAGAAAAAAGTAGCTCCTTAGCGCCACCTGACACCTTTAGAAGAGATCGAATCCAAGAAGAGATCGAATCCAAGAAAAGGAAAGTCTCTTAGGCTTCTAATCTCTCTAATTGATCGATATCTCGACTATCGGTGATTTCCAGGGGTACCCCTGGGTCTCTAACTGGGTCTCTAACTGGCTATGAGGGTTTTTATCACCTTGTGTTTGGTCCAGAGGGAGAATGTCTCTCTCTAGACCCCCACCAGGGCAGCCGCCTACTCCATTGTAAACAACTGTTGTGATCTCTTTCAAATCCCCCCCCCCCCCACTCATTGTCCAATCAAATCAGAAAAAGATCCCCTGGTCGACCAAAGCACTGCCTTTACTCAAGAATTGAATTCATTAAAGGGAAGTAGGGGTAAGGTCTACTATCGTATTTTAACTCGAGTTTAACACGACAAAGTATAGAGACAACTTCTTGGAAAAGTAGCTGAGAAATGCCTAGTTTTTCTCAAAAGTGGCAAGTGTTAGATAGAGAATTGTAGCCCTTAATTATGGCTATATTTCTCTACCAAAAACTTTTCGATTGCACGTATACAACTCATTTTGCAAGCTCTGAAATTTGAGCTAGTCGACATCTCTCTAGTGTTCTAGCTTGAGCTAGTCGACATCTCTCTAGTGTTCTAGCTTGAGCTAGTCCAGATGTCTCTAGTGTTCTAGTTTGAGCTAGTTGACATCTCTCTAGTGTTCTAGTTTGAGCTAGTCGACATCTCTCTAGTGTTCGCACTACTCTTCCGTTTCTAGTGGATCATTTCAAATAAATTATAGTTAGTTTAGCTTAAAAATCCCTGTTCTTGTCAACATGTTTTTGGATTTTTAAAAAACCAAAACTACGGACGAGGACGGGAGTCGAACCCTGGGCTAGAGCTCGCACTGCGCCATTGAGTGACCGCGCCGTTAATTGCGCCGTTAACGTGCGCGTCTCTAAAACGAGCGGAAGAGAGATGGTCGCAGGTTCGACTCCTCTTGACCCAAATTCTTTGCTTTTTGCCTCTAAAAAAGTTGTTTTTCATCTAAATAAGCTTTTTCTCTAAGATCCTCTTTTTAACTTTCTCCATAACTTTTTTGCTAGTAACTTTATGAAATAAGTTTAGCTAGTTAAGTTCTTTAAGTTTTTTCTTTAAAACACTTCTTGCTCTTCGCTCTCTAGATAACTAGATCACTTAAAACTCTAGAAAAGCTCTAGATCTCTAGATAAGCTCTAGATCTCTAGATCTCTAGATTTGTAAGCTTTTAAAGTCAGCTAAGCTTTTATTGTTATAGCTTAGCTCAAAATGAGCTTAATTTCTCGATTTGATTGTTCAAAAAGTCGAAATATTTAGATGAATTGAGTTAAATTGGATTTAGGTCCAACATTTGACAAAAATCTTTTTTTAAATTGTTTTTTTTTGGATAAGATAAATAAGAGTGTTTTTTTGTGTGTGAGATAATGATGATATTGACAATTGCAATTCGAATTTCAGGACAAGATCCGTCTCCTTCAAGAGGATCTCGAGTCGGAGCGTGAACTTCGCAACAGGGTTAGTTTTTGAAATTTCGATTTTTTTTTTGCCTTTTCTTCACGATTCTTCACTGTGTACTTTGCGCCCTTGTAAAGGCATACTTTCTGATGCACTGAAAAGCATACTAAAGGTATACTAAAGGTAAACTAAAGTCAGACTAAAGTCAGACTAAAGTCAGACTAAAGCTCATTTACCTGGCTGGCTAGCTGGCTCATTTTCCATAGCGACACTGGCTCAGTGGGGCGCTAGATCCAAAGCCTTGTAAAGGCATACTTTCTGGTGCACTGAAAAGCATACTAAAGATATACTAAAGATATACTAAAGGTATACTAAAGGTATACTAAAGTCAGAATAAAGTACTAAAGCTCATTTACTTGGCTGGCTAGCTAGCTAGCTCATTTTCCATAGCGACACTGGCTCATTGGGGCGCTAGATTCTTCTTTTTTGAACTAGTTTCACAAGAAAACTAAATCTCAGTGCACTAGAAAGGATGCGTTTACAAATTCGTTGCAAAAATCAACTAAGAATTGAATGGAATGAGTCTAGATTTGATTTGCTAGATCTAGATTTGCTTTGCTAGATTTTGCCAAATGATTCCAAGAAGATTTCCCCTTGAATCTTCTCATTATTCTCTAATAGATCTTCTTTTAATTTTTTTTCTTTTTCCCGCAAAGAAATGAATTGTCTATTTGCGATCTCTTGAGTCTTTTCTTCTTTTTTTTCTCAATTTGTGGCAGAGTTTTTTCGATTTTCTCGATTTTCTCGTGAAATCTCGTGAAATCTCGTGAAATAACGGGGATTTTTCATCTTTAACTAAAAAAATCTCATAGAAATCATAGAAAATCTTATAGAAATCATAGAAAATCTCATAGAATTCATAGAAATCATAGAATTGATAGAATTGTTATTTTAACAATAGTCTAGAGTCGTTTAAGTTATTTTAACTTATAAAAAAATACCGACTGGGGCTACCAGTGGTGAATTTATCGCATACACGAAATATATCAATCACAATACAACGACACACACAATACTAGGCTATATCTTAACTTAACCCACGTCATGACAGACGGCTCCCTAACCCTAAGCTCAACGGGGAACTAAATAGCTTTTTTGGTGGTGAAGGGAAGATGACGATGAAGGAGTGGCAGAATAAATAGCTTAGACATAATTACAGTAATAATAAAGTCAATAATAAAGTTATGATAGTTTTAAGTTTAAATTTAAACGCAAACATTTCATTTGATAACATTTGATAACATTTTCGAATGCGATAACATTTTAGCACTTTCAAATGCGTTCTTTGACTTAAAACATTAGAAAATCTTTGAGCTCGATAAGAAAAAAAGCTTTTAAATTCATTTATTGATAATCAAAACATTTTTCTTATAAGCTTTATGCAAAAAAATGAAGAAGAATGAAAGCTTTATTGAAAAATCTCAAAGATGAAAGTTCTTGATGACTATGAGATCCATTTTTAGCTTAAAACAACTCTAGACTTACTTATTGATCGATCAATAGTGATAAATTGCATTCTTTCTTTCTTTCTTTCTTTCTCTTCCTTTTTTTCTCTTCCTTATCTTTCCTATTTCTTCCTATAGCTAATATCTCAATGGTAAAGCATCAGATCAGTGGTCCAAGCAGAAGAAGAAGGTCGAGGGTTCAATTCCGAGGCTCTAAATTCTTTACCATTCATTTCTTTCTTTTGTTTTTCATTCTGCTTTAATTTCTTTACTTGATTTCTTGGTTTTTCATTCTGATTTGATTTCTTTGACCTCTATCAATAAGATCAATAGCCAACTTTAGCTGAAAGTCAATAGCCATTGTTGCCTAAAGCTCTATGCTTTCAACAATTGAAACCGGACTTCACCTGAGTACTCTTTTTCAATGCTCTTATGCTTTGGGTCATTTCAATAGCTTTAGTAGAAACTGTTTCCGAAAATATACATTTCATTGGCTTTCATTGGCTTTCATTGGCTTTCGTTAGCTTTCATTGGCTTTCATTAGCTTTCATTGGCTTTCATTGGCTTTCTAGCTTTCATTAGCTTTCATTAGCTTTCATTAGCTTTCTAGCTTTCATTAGCTTTCATTAGCTTTAATTGGCTTTCCTTGACTTTCATTTTATTTCATTTCATTGACTAAAAGCTTACCACAGTACACAAAAGTGGAAACATATCACTTTTTGTAAAGGAATTGCAAAGTAATTACAATCAATTACCAAATCTAGTTTCCAGTTTCAGAATTCTTAATTTTAAAAAGCCAATTCTTTTCTCAGATCGAGCGCGAGCGTGCCGATCTCTCGGTTCAATTGATCTCTCTCACCGATCGCCTCGAAGATGCCGAGGGAACCACTGATTCACAGGTGAGAAAAAAAGCATTAAACTATCTAATTACATAAATCTATCTTACAAAACACGTATCTTATCTAATTGGATAATTTGAATAGACTAGTGCTTGTAGACTAGCTTGTAGACTAGCTTGTAGACTAGCTTGTAGACTAGCTTGTAGACTAGTTTGTAGACTAGCTTGTAGACTAGCTTGTAGACTAGAGCTTATTCCAGTAAGAATCACAATTCACAATTGAAATGAAATTGATCCTATCTAATCCTTTAATATAATATTCTATGCAAAAGGGTTTTTAGATCGAGTCAAACCGAAAGCGCGAGGCTGAGCTTGTCAAGCTCCGCAAGTTGCTTGAGGAGAGCCAAATCGAGTCTGAGGTTGGTTTTCTTTTTTATTCATTGAATTGATTGAATCCTTTATTTCATTGAATTGATTTCGAGAATGGATTTACTCGATTTATTTCTTTATTTACTGTATTTTTCTCTTCACTTAAGATCATTTCCAGGATGCGATGAATCAACTGCGCAAAAAACATCAAGATGCCTGCCTTGACTACCAAGAACAATCTGAACAACAACAAAAGAAATATGCAAAGTAAAGCAAAGCAAGCAATAATGATGATTTCCTAAAAATTCTCCATTCCTACCGTAGTCTTGTCTTGATTTTTGATAGAATCTATTCAATTTTGGCGAATTTCTGTGAGAGAGAATATTGGAAAGAAAGAAAAGAATCGGAAGATGAGAAAAATTGAATTAAAAGACAAGATTACGGTAGAGTTGAGATATTTAGGAAATTGATTCAATAATGGGCAAAATTTGTAACTTAAAGCTATTAAATGGGTGCCAATTTGAATGCAAATCTAGTCATAGATCGATTTAAGCATAGGTTCACGTGTTGTTAGAAGTCGGGCTTGTTAAAACGCGATTAAAATCTGTTAACAAGGCTGTTAACAAGGCAAATATGTTGGCTAAGGCTCAACAAATATCTTGGCTAAGAACACAAGTCAGAATCCAAGAACTAAGTCTAAGAACGCTAATGAATTTTTTGAAAAAAGCAAAAGAAAGTCCGGGGTCCGGGATCGAACCTGGGAGGTCTCGCTCTAGAAACGAGCACTCTACCACTCGGCTAAAGCTGCAACGAAAACGGTCTGCAAGAAGATCGCTAAAGCTCAAATAAGATCGCATTTGGCCGGCTCAGGCAGTTCCTATATAAGTCATAAGACCTTATTTTGACCAGCAGCCAATCGGTCCCGGTGACTCATTGGTAAAGCGTTGGCTTGGTAAGCGAGAGATCGCGGGTTCGGATCCCGATGCCGCCTTTTTGGATTCAAAACTTATAAAATGATTGTCAAATTTCTATTTGATATAAATATAAAAGGAAAACAGTGCTTTTGATCGAAAAGCTCTTTTTCATTCAAAATTTCCTTATGAAATCTACCTTATGAAAGGTAATCGAGGGGGTTTACCTTATTAAACTTATGTGATATTTGCTTTGATGACAATGAATCGATTGATCTGATCAATAATCGATTGATCTGATCAACCAATCGATTGATCTGATCAACCAATCGATTGATCTGATCAATCAATCGATTGATCTGATCAACCAATCGATTGATCTGATCAACCAATCGATTCCAATCAATCCTTTTCCCCAATCGATCAAGTTGCAATCTGATCCCGGATGTAAGAAAGAAGAAAAACTGCAATTTTTCTAGAGAAACTGATGTTTTTCCAGAAAAACTCTCATTTTTCTGAACTTTCTCAACCTTTTTATGTCCATTTTTCGGTGAACGTTCCAGTGTACCTTAAGGAATTTCCTCAAAAAAAAGAAAAAGTTTTAAAAAAATGAGAACTTTTTGAGAAAGAGATTTGCGAGAGGAAAATCTTGGAAAAAGGATTTAAGAAAAGGGAAAAGGAAAAGAAAACTTTAGCTTTTAGCTTTTTAGCTTTTGGGCTTTTAGCCTTTTTAGCTCTTTAGCTTTTTAGCTTTCTGGCTTTTCCTTTTCTGCTTTTCCTTTTCAGCTTTTAGGCTTTTTAGCTTTTGGGCTTTTTTTATTGTGAAAAGAGAGCTCTTTCTTGAACATTACACATAGCTCGAAGGTCCTTTTCCCCCTCAAAACTTTTCCCGGCGAAATTTTTAGTGCAAAAGAATTTTGGGGGGATTATGAAAAGGTGATCGAATGATCGAATGATCAAAATGATCGAAATGATCGAAAAGTGAAAGGATTTGCTCTCTAGAATTGAATTTCTCATTGATAGCAAGTATCCTAAAGTCACGAGTATAAGTTCTGTTTGGTTTTCGCATGCAAATTGGCGGCTGTCTCCGGTGCGGTGTGTCGAGGGTTCGAACCCCGCTGCAGCATAAGTTTTTTGCTTTTTAAGAACAATAATAGAAGTAAATTTATTAAGGGTTATAGCAAGGTTATAGCAATTTTATGCTGTTATTTGTTGCTCCGGGCGTGGCTCGGCCCTGGCCCTGGCCGTGGCCCGGCTCCGGGCGCCCTGCTCCTCTCCGGTGCTCAGTCTTATGGATCCTGGCTTTAGAGTTCCTTTATAGTTCCTTTATAGCTCCTTTAGAGTTCCTTTGTAGTTCCTTTAGAGTTCCTTTAGAGTTCCTTTAGAGTTCCTTTAGAGTTCCTTTAGAGTTCCTTTATAGTTCCTTTAGAGTTCCTTTAGAGTTCCTTTATAGTTCCTTTATAGTTCCTTTAGAGTTCCTTTATAGTTCCTTTATAGCTCCTTTATGTTCCTTTATAGTTCCTTTATAGTTCCTTTAGATCCCTTTAAATGTAAATTAAGGCAGAACTTATACTCGGATGAACTTATACTCGAGACTTTAGGGTAAATTGAATACAAAACGAAATTACAATACAATTAAAACGATTCTTAAACTCAATTTAGAGTTGAGCGTGATCGTCAACGCCTTCAACACGAAGTGATCGAGCTCACGCAAACAATTGATCAACTTCAAAAGGATAAAGTGAGGGATTTTTTGATGATAATGAACGACTTTTAATAATAATAAACCACTTCTTAACGATAATGAACGAATTTTAATGTTAATAAACGACTTCTTAATGATAATAAACGACTTTTAATGATAATGAACGAATTTTAATGTTAATAAACGACTTTTGATGCTAATGAATGACTTTTAATGATAATAAACGAACTTTAACAATTATAAACGACTTCTTAATGATTATAAACGACTTTTAATGTTAATAAACGACTTCTTAATGTTAATAAACGACTTCTTAATAATAATAAACGACTTTTAATGTTAATAAACGAATTTTAATAATAATAAACCACTTCTTAATGCTAATAAGCGACTTTCAATGATAATAAACGAATTTTAACGATTATAAACGACTTTTAACAAAAGCTTTTTCTTGCTAGACTTGAGAAAATCTATTGTTGAAGAGAGTTTGAATACGTCCAATTATCCGTTCACTTATCTAAATCAAATATTACTCAAACTTAAATTCGGATGTGCTCTGGATAAATTCGGATCTACCTTATCCACTTAACTCCATCAAAACTTTCAGCACACTGCCGAGAAAGCCGCTGAGCGTTTCGAGGCGCAGGCTGTCGAACTCGCCAACAAAGTCGATGATCTAAACAAGGTGAGTGAAATTGTTTCCAATCTAGATATCTAGATATCTAGATAAGTCTTATCTTATCTTATCTAGACCTAGATATCTAAATAGGCTACCATTCTTTAAATAATAAATCGGTATTTGTCTATGTAGGTAGTGAATTTAAGCTATCCGATAGAATAATTCGTTAAAGTAATCTAACGTTTAGCACGTCAACGACTTGGCTCAACAACGCCAGCGTCTGCAGGCTGAAAACAACGATTTGTTGAAGGAGATTCACGATCAGAAAGTCACCATCGACAACTTGCAACACGTGAAATACACACTTGCTCAACAGCTTGAAGAGGCTCGCCGCCGTCTAGAGGACGCTGAAAGGGTCAGTTTTCAAAGGATAGGCTTTAAAAAGGTTTAACAAGGTTTAAAAGAGCTTTAAAGGGCTTTAAAAGTGTTTAAAAAGGTTTAGCAAGGTTTAAAAGAGCTTTAAAGGGCTTTAAAAAGGTTTAACAAGGTTTAAAAAAGGTTTAACAAGGTTTAAAAAAGGTTTAACAAGGTTTTAAAAAGGTTTAACAAGGTTTAAAAGAGCTTTAAAGGGCTTTAAAAAGGTTTAACAAGGTTTAAAAGAGCTTTAAAAGGGTTTAGCAAGGTTTAAAAGGGCTTTAAAAAGGTTTAGCAAGGTTTAAAAAAGTTTAACAAGGTTTAACAAGGTTTTAAAAAGGTTTAGCAAGGTTTTAAAAAGGTTTAAGAAGGTTTAAAAGAGCTTAAAAGAGCTTTAAAGGGCTTTAAAGGGCTTTAAAGGGCTTTAAAAGTGTTGAAAAGGTTTAAAAAGGTTTAGCAAGGTTTAACAAGGTTTAGCAAGGTTTAAAAAGGTTTAGCAAGGTTTAAAAAGACTTTAAAGAGCCTTAAAAATGTTTTAAAAGCCTCAGAAGGGCTTTAAAAGGCTTTAAAAACTTTAAAAACTTTTCCATTAGTAAAAACATTCGCTAGATTCTTAAAATAACGGTTTTTCAGATTTTTTAAGAACGTAAGATTTGTCTAGCTGATCTTGAGCGATTTGAGATCTCATCCATTCTTAAACTGGTAGCATTTAACTAGGTTTAACTAGGTCTAGATCTAGATACGATTAGAGGCATCACGAGGCATCTAGATACGATTAGATCTAGACCTAGTTACCTAGGTTAGATTAGATCTAGACCTAGTTACCTAGGTTAGGTTAGATCTAGACGTTACCTAGGTTAGATTAGATCTAGACCTAGTTACCTAGGTTAGATTAGATCTAGACCTAGTTACCTAGGTTAGATTAGATCTAGACCTAGTTACCTAGGTTAGATTAGATCTAGACCTAGTTAAACCTATGCTACCAGTTCAAGAATGGGTCTAGATCTAGGTCTAGACTCTACTAGAACTAGGCTTTACTTAATTCTTGATCTAGTTATCGAAAAGATTTCATATCTATCATATTCTAGGAACGCGCTCAACTCCACTCGCAACTCCACCAAGTTCAACTCGAGCTCGACTCAGTGCGCAACGCTCTTGATGAGGAATCGCAAGCCAGGTTCAGAGCATTCAAAAGCAAAGTTCAGAAAGTTCAAAAGCGACGTTCAGAAATACGAAAACAGCTTAAAATCAAAAATATTCAATAGAACATTCCAGAGCTGACGCCGAGCACAAACTTTCTCTTGCTAACACTGAGATCACTCAATGGAAATCGAAGTTCGACGCTGAGGTGAGGAAAAACGTTGAAAGTAGTTGCTTAAAGTTGCTTCAAAGTACAGAGTTGTTTATAGTAGCTGTAGGTTTAAATGAATTTTGAAAAGCTTTGCTTGAAAGCTTGAAAAGCAAGCTTTGCTAGCTTAGGACAACTGTATTGAGGGCTGGATTATCGGACATTTGATATTGCCTTTTTGCCATTGGCAATTCAACTTTGAGCTCAAATTTCTTGATGTTGGGCTGAGCGATTAAAATGTTTTTGGGATTATTAGATGCGCCAAGTCTTTTTCTATCGATTGGTATAAAAACCATTCAAATTGGACAACGCAACACCAAGAAATTTGAGTTTAAAGTTGGATTGCCAATGGCAAAAGGGCGGGGCGCGTCCCCTTTGCCATTGGCAAACTTTGAGCTCTAATTTCTTGGTGTTGGAACGTCCAATTTAAATCGTTTTTATACCAATCGATAGAAAAAGACTTGGCGCATCTAATAATACTAAGAATATTTAAATTGGACAGCTCAACGCAAAGATATTTGAGCTTAAAGTTAGATTGCCAATGGCAAAGTTAGATTACCAATGGCAAAGTTGAATTGCCAATGGCAATGTTGAATTGCCAATAGCAAATGCATTAGATTGCCAATAACCAATATCAAATGTCCCAAAATCCTTTTGATCTTCCGTAAAAGTTGTCCAACTACAGTAATCCTTGTGAACTAGACTAAACTCCAAGTTTCCAGGTCCAACTCCATCACGAGGATGTCGAAGAACTCCGGAAGAAGATGCTCCAGAAGCAAGCTGAGTACGAAGAACAAATTGAGATCATGTTGCAAAAGATCTCTCAACTCGAGAAAGCGAAGAGCCGCTTGCAGAGTGAGGTCGAGGTGCTCATTGTGGACTTGGAAAAAGCCCACAACACGATCGCTATCTTGGAGCGCGCCAAGGAGGCACTCGAGCGCCAATTGGCTGAGGCCAAGGTGCGCATTGACGAGTTGACTGAAGAGGTTGAAGTGATCGCGCGCGAGTTGCGTGCCGCGAATGCCGAGTTGCAGAAGATGAAGCACTTGTATGAGAAGGCTGTCGAACAGAAGGAGGCGCTGGCTCGCGAGAACAAGAAATTGCACGATGACTTGGTTGAAGCAAAGGAGGCATTGGCTGACGCAAACAGGAAGTTGCACGAGTTGGATCTGGAGAACGCGCGCTTGGCCGGTGAAATCCGTGAGCTTCAAGTGGCGTTGAAAGAGGCTGATGCTCAACGACGCGATGCCGAGAATCGAGCTCAGCGCGCTTTGGCTGAGCTGCAGGCTCTCCGCGTTGAATTTGAGCGCCGAATGCAAGAGAAGGAGGAGGAGATTGAGGCCTTGCGCAAGAATATGCAATTCGAGATCGACCGATTGGCTGCCGCGTTGGCTGATGCTGAGGCAAGGATGAAGGTGAGTGGATTGCTGAGATTAGAGCATTGATTCGTGGTGATGATCGACTTGAGTGGACAGTCGTGTAGTCGTTAAACAGTCGCGTAGTCGTTTTAGTTAAATTTTAGTACATAAACTAAACATCTAGAATCTAGATCTGAAAATCCGTCTGATCTAGAAATCTGTCTAATCTAGATATCCGTTTGATCTAGATCTCAGTCTGATCTAGATCTTAGTCTGATCTAGATCCGTTTGATCCAGACTGATTCTAGATCGGACGTCCGATTCGGATCCGGACGTCCGTTCTAGAGCGAAGTGAGGTCAAACGTTCGATCTAGATCAAGCCATCCGATCTAGATCAAGCCATCCGATCTAGATCAAGCCGTCTGATCTAGATCAAGCCGTTCGATCAAGCCGTCCGATCAAGTCGATCACTCTAAATCTAAGTCTGAATCGGACGTCTGATTTAGAGTGATAGGCTTGATTCCAGACCAAAGATTTGACCACACTTCACTCTAGATCGGACGTCCAATCCGGATCCGGACGTCCTAGAACCAGTCTAGAATCAGATGGATCTGTCTGATCTAGATCTCAGTCTGATCTAGACTGATTCTAGATCGGACGTCCGATTCGAATCCGATGGATCAGATGGATTTCTTGGTCCGACATAGATATCTTCATATACTGTTCCTTTTCATATACTTTTCCAAATCAAAAACTATACCCAACTTTTCCAGGCCGAGATCTCTCGCCTCAAGAAGAAATACCAAGCCGAGATCGCCGAACTTGAGATGACCATCGACAACCTCAATCGGTGAGTTTTAAACTTGATTGAGTAGCTAACTAAAGTGGTCTTCATCACCAAATCCGTTTCAGCGCCAACATCGAGGCCCAGAAGACCATCAAGAAGCAATCCGAACAACTCAAAGTCCTTCAGGCCAACTTGGAAGACACCCAGCGTCAACTCCAGCAAACTTTGGATCAATTCGCTTTGGCTCAGCGCAAGATCTCAGCGCTGTCAGCGGAATTGGAAGAGTGCAAATCGGCATTGGACAACGCGATTCGCGCTCGAAAACAAGCCGAGTTGGACTTGGAAGAAGCCTCGGTTCGAATCCAAGACTTGATCTCGATCAACAACAATCTCACCTCGATCAAGAACAAATTAGAAACCGAATTGAGCACCGCGCAGCAAGATCTCGATGAGGTGACAAAGGAGTTGCACGCGGCTGACGAGCGAGCGAATCGCGCTTTAGCTGACGCAGCAAGAGCTGTCGAACAATTGCACGAGGAGCAAGAGCACTCGATGAAGATCGACGCGTTGAGGAAGAGCTTGGAAGAGCAAGTGAAGCAATTGCAAGTACAAATCCAAGAAGCTGAAGCAGCAGCGCTTTTGGGCGGAAAGAGAGTGATCGCCAAGTTGGAGACGCGAATCCGCGACTTGGAGACCGCTTTGGATGAGGAGAGCCGCCGCCACAAGGAAACGATCAACGCTCTTAGGAAGAAGGATCGCCGCATCAAGGAGGTTCAACAACAGGTAAGAGTTGAGAATTGAATCGAAATGGGTGCTGTAATGGGTACTGTAATGTAGCTGTAATGGGTACTGTAATGTAATGTAAAGGGGCGGGGCGCGTATAAAAGATCTCTCGCCGCCTCTTTTGCCATTGGCAAACTTTGAGCTCAAATTTCTTGGTGTTGATTTGTCCAATTTAAACAATTTTCATACCAATCGATAGAGAAAGACTTGACGCATCTAATGATCCCAAAAACATTTCAATTGCACAGCCCAACATTAAGAAATTTGAGCTCAAAGTTTGATTGCCAATGGCAAAGGCCCCTTTGCGGCGGGGCACTCCTGAAATCCAGAAAATGAGTTCTAGGCTTGCGTAAAAGTGAAAAATTAGTAAGACGTACAATAAGCTAGCTAATTTCTACGTCTACTTTACAAGAATTCTATTTTAATACCATTTCCAGGTGGATGAGGAGCACAAGAACTTCGTGATGGCTCAAGACACTGCCGATCGTCTTCTCGAGAAGTTCTTTCTTTTAAAATTATAAAAATTAATAAACAAAACATCGATAAAACACAAAGAAACTAGAAAAAAAATGAAAAGAAATGAAATGAAAAGAGAAATATTTGTTTCCAGATTGAACATCCAGAAGAGACAACTCTCCGAGGCTGTAAGTATTAGACAACTTTGAAAGTACTGTAGATAATAGATAAATTGTCTACAGTACTTATTAAGTACTGTAGATAATACATATAATTATCGAAAAAACCGATAAATACATCTAATTCTGGGTAATTTTTCAGGAAGGAGTGACAATGGCGAACCTCCAGCGAGTCCGAAGATACCAACGGGAACTCGAGGATGCCGAGGGACGTGCCGATCAGGTTAGAGAAGAGGAAAAGATATCAAATAGCAGATATCGATATCAGATATAGAAATTGGCTTTAAGGATAACGTTGATTTCTAGGCCGAGGGCTCGTTGAACCTGATCCGCGCTAAACATCGTGGCACTGTTGCTGGTGGAAAGTCGGGAAGCAGGGTAGGCTGAAGAATCGAGTTTCTAATCGTGCAAATTACCGTAATCTTGTCTTTTTAAGGCCTATCGAAAGAGATAAAAAGTGGAATTGGATAAAATAGACAAGATTACGGTAGTTTGAAGAAAGAGGACACGTTTTAGAAAACGAAAACGTAAGGGATGCAGAGTTTAGAGGAGTACTGTACTTTGTAGGAGTCTAAATTAGATAAAAATTCAGGAAAAACTACCGTAATCTTTCGGCAAAAGGCTCTAGAAAAAGCTAAAAACTGTTTTCAAGTGTCTAATTTAAAAAAAACCTAGATTTACAGTGATTTTTCGACATTTCTCGACATTTTCAACGTCATTTTTCAGATTTTCGTCGCAGAAGAGGACTACTAGAAGCCTTGGAACGGAGAAGAAAGATGGGAAATCATTTTTTGCAAATGTTTTTCTCAGATTTTCTTTTTTTCTAGGGTTTCATGTGATTTCATTGCCTTAATTTATCCTCTTTTGTGTACAGTTTTTTCCAATCGACCATCACAGAGATTAACTGTTATTTGAATGTCATTTGAATGTCATTTTGAATGGTATGCAAATTTTGTCTCTCTCTCTCCGTCATCTTTGTCAAATCTCTCTCCGTCACTAGCCTCGTCTAGTTCGTAACGGTGGCCACCGTTTGATTTTTTTTTTTCTTTTAAAATACCCCAAGCGATCGTCTAGTCTCCGAATTTTTATATATTGTAAAAAGTTTATTGTAGTTTTGTTGCTTTGTAGCTCAAATTTTAGGAAAAGAATGAGAAAAAAGCGATTTTATGAAGGTAGATTGGGGAAAAAGCCAAATAAAGCTAAACTTTATAAAGCTAAACGTTTTAAAAAGCCAAACTAAAGCTAAACTAAAGCTAGCTAGCTAGCTAAAGCTAAACTAAAGCCAAACTAAAGCTAAACTAAAGCTAGCTAGCTAGCTAAATCCAAACTAAAGCTAAACTAAAGCTAGCTAGCTAGCTAAAGCCAAACTAAAGCTAAACTAAAGCTAGCTAGCTAGCTAAAACTAAACTACAATAGCTAGCTTTCCTAAAAACTACGATAACCTTTTTACAATTTAAAGTTTTCTTTTTCTTTCATATCCGTGTCTTTTTCGACTTGTTTTCTTTGCTGTTTGCTTTGCTGGATTACCGTAATCCTCTCTCTCTCTGTGCCTTGTAAAAGATTTCTAAAAGTCGCTCAGTAAACTCTTCTCCCTTTTCCTTTCTACCGTAAACTCTTCTCCCTTTTCCCTTTCCCATTCTCAAACTCGACAACTCCCCTTTTTTTTCGATGACAGCCTTCTTTTAGGCGTCTCCATTTTTGTATCCCTTTTTTTTTGGACTTGGTGTTGACGAGTAAAAAATTCTAAAAACTTTCGCAAAACACAATGACAGAAATTGCAGAAATATTGCTTGGAAATCTTTAGAAATGATTCTTAAGAACAGAAAGCCACCGAAACAGAAAGATTCACACTTGAAATTGAAGAAACAAACAGCTTTTGTCTATCTGAACACATTCACGACGATACACTCCAACTTAGATCCAGACCCAGATCCAGATCCAGATCCAGATCCAGATCCAGATCCAACTTAGATCCAGACCCAGATCCAACTTAGATCCAGATCCAGATCCAACTTAGATCCAGATCCAAATCCAGATCCAGATCCAGATCCAACTTAGGTCCAGATCCAGATCGAGATCCAACTTAGATCCAGATCCAGATCCAGATCCAGACCCAGATCCAGATCCAGATCCAGATCCAGATCCAACTTAGATCCAGATCCAGATCCAGATCCAGACCCAGATCCAGATCCAGATCCAGATCCAGATCCAGATCCAGATCCAACTTAGATCCAGATCCAGATCCAGATCCAGATCCAGATCCAACTTAGATCCAGATCCAGATCGAGATCCAACTTAGATCCAGATCCAGATCCAGATCCAGACCCAGATCCAGATCCAGATCCAGATCCAGATCCAACTTAGATCCAGATCCAGATCCAGATCCAGATCCAACTTAGATCCAGATCCAGATCCAGATCCAGATCCAGATCCAGATCCAGATCCAGATCCAGATCCAGATCCAACTTAGATCCAGATCCAATTTAGGTAGAGATCCTTGACGCTGTCCGACAACTCACTCAAACGATCCCCTTCTTGTTGCAAATGCAAACCGGAGCGATTCGCACGAATCTCTCACCGGCTCCGTCCATTGTACTACAAGGCCCGCGAGAGCAAAGCATTGAAGAGGTGAAAAGCTTATCTATTTATCTATCTACACTACTGGACAATGAAATATCATCATTGAAAAACGATCGTGACTTCCGCGCGTCTGTAACTCCCCTGTCTTTACCGTATTTCTAAATATTAATATTACCATTGTGTAGCCCTTGAAAAGAGCTTTCAGAAAATGTATAACACTAATAGTTTAAACTCAAAGACAAGGGAGTTACAGACGCGCGAAAGTGACAATCGTTTTTCAAATATCATATTTCATTGTCCAGTACTGTACGTCTCACCGGTGGGCCGTACTAATGGGAAAGATTTTTGGTGTTAGCTGTTAGCTGTTAGTTAGGTGTCAGCGCAAGTTTTTAAAGACTTTCAAGATGGAAAATAGCACCTTTTAGAAAACGTGTTGTCGGAAGTTTGTCCGATCGTCTGTCTGACGTCTGAATTGTCTGACGAAAAAGTTGTCAATGCAAATTTGTCTGACAAATTCTCTGTCAACAAGGAGCACACTCTAATGTGTATAGTCTGATGACAAAGAGTCCTTGTTGTTTCTAAGCAACAAATATTGAAAGAAAGAGAAATGGTCATTTCGAGAAAAGCAGAAACTAGAGACCAGAAATAGAATATTCAAAAACAGGGAAAAGGATTTGTTTGGATCATAACGATCGACGATACACTTCAGCTTTGACTCAGCTTTGTCTCAGCTTTGACTCAGCTTTGTCTCAGCTTTGACTCAACTTTGATACAGCTTTGACTCAGCTTTGTCTCAGCTTTGTCTCAGCTTTGTCTCAGCTTTGAATCAGCTTTGTCTCAGTTTGTCTCAGCTTTGATACAGCTTTGTCTCAGCTTTGACTTAGCTTAACAACTGAATAGTTTGAATCGATTTCTTTCAATTTTTACTCACCAAAAGTCATGGGTGGATGCTCATCAAGCGAGTCTGGGTAAGTTTTTGTTGAAAAAAAAGCTCGACAATTTGTTCTGGACTTTTGTTCTGGACAAAAGCTGGAAAATTTGTGAAGCTAATCGATCCTTTAGTCTTTCGTTCTACTTTAGTCTTCCGTTTTACCATTTGAATCCATTTTGATTCTCGACATTTGAATTTGAAGTTTCATTTGAATCTCGACTTAATCGCTCATCGAATGAGATGATAAACAAATAGAATCTAAAAGAAAAAGACAAATAGAATCTAAATTCTAAACAAATAGAGTCTAAATTCTTTCAATTATCGATCTTGATGGATGAAATGTAGGATGAAATGTAGGATTTGATGAAATCAAACCATAACTGATGAACCATCCCTCATTCAGCGCAGAATTTTAGCTTATAACAAAGCTCATTTGGTATTCCTATTCTTCCCTTTCTCTTGCTAGAGTCTTGAACAGATTGTCAAGCTGTTGAATGGTGGATAAATATGATTACTTACTTAATTACTAATGATAAACGTTTAGTGACTACAAATTGTACTATTTCAATGCTCGCGGTACCACCGAACCAATTCGACAACTCTTCGCTTTGGCTCAGATCCCATTCGAAGATATCCGAATCGAGCAAGATGATTGGGGAAACACGAAAATGAGTAAATGAGTAAATGAGTAAAATGAGAATGGGTTTTTATATTTTTTGCTCTATTCGGATGTTAGTTTAGCCGCTTTAAACAAACTGGATAAGCTTTAAACAAGTCCCAAAGTTCAGAAAACTCAGATAAAAGTCAGCAAAACTTTTCTCAACTCAAACTTTTCTCAACTACATTGTTCTCTCATTTTAGTCGCTTTTAAGTAGCAAAATGATACATAATGATGCAAAATTTAAAGCAAATTTGTAGCAAATTGGCAGCAAATTGGTAGCAAATTCAATCTTTGCCTTAAATTTGACAAAAATACAACCAAATTCAAGGCAAAGATTGATCCCAAGAGTTTAGGTCAAGATTCAAGTTCTAATTGGTAGACTGATAACTTCGCTAAATAGCCTTTGCCAAGTAATCTTTGCCAAGTAGCCTTTGCTAAGTAGCCTTTACTAACTAGCCTTTACTAAGTAGCCTTTGTTAAGTAGCCTTTACTAACTAGCCTTTACTAAGTAGCCTTTACTAAGTAGCCTTTGCTAACTAGCCTTTACTAAGTAGCTTTTGCTAAGTAGCCTTTACTAAGTTACTAAGTAGCCTTTACTAAGTAGCCTTCGCTAAATAGCCTTTGCCAAGTAACCTTTGCTAAGTAGCCTTTGCTAACTAGCCTTTACTAAGTAGCCTTTGTTAAGTAGCCTTTACTAACTAGCCTTTACTAAGTAGCCTTTGCTAAGTAGCCTTTACTAACTAGCCTTTACTAAGTAGCCTTTACTAAGTAGTCTTTGCTAAGCAGCCTTTGAGCCTTTGCTAAGTAGGCTTTGATAAGTAGCTTTTGCTACCCAGCCTAAGCCTTTGCCAACTAGCCTAAGCCTTTGCTAACTAGCGTTAACCTCAACGTTAACTATTAGCAAAAGCTTCTTGAGTCTACTAATTCGAACTTGAATCTAATTGCTCGAAACTTTTCCCTAAAATCGGAAACTTCAACAAGTTTCTTTTAAAGAACTAAAGACTTTTTATATCGAACTGTCTTTGCTAAGTAGCCTTTGATAAGTAATCTGGCTACTTATCAAAGGTAGTCTGGCTGATTAGGTTCGACTGATCTAAACCTAATCAACTTTTAAGATATGCCATTCGGTCAATTGCCTGTCCTTGAAGTGAATGGGGAAAAGCTTGCCCAAAGTGCTTCGATCATGCGATACTTGGCGACGAAATTCGGTTTGTAGAAAAAGTTCGAGCGTTTAGGTCTTTTCTTAAATACAGAAATCAGGTTTTTTTAGATTTGATCGGCAATTACAAAAGTTTGGGTGATTGATTTGTTTTGTCACGTTTCACTTTTCAAAAACATAACCAAAATTGTACAATAGCTGAGCTGTGAGCTGTTGAGCTGTTAATTGTGAGCTGTTAATTCATATTTTGGCTTTTAATTGGCTTTAAAGGATCAATAGAATTTCGAATACTAGTCATAACAATTGATTTTATATAAAAATAAAACATAAATTAACAACAACGGGCACTCTAAAAAAGAATCTCCAAAGTGTGGAGGATTGGACGAATTGGACAAAGTCAACCAATTGGACAAAATCAAGTCAAAGCTTGAGCTTGAGCTTGAGCAAACTTTGGATCAGTTGGAGGAAACTCTCAAACGCTTGAAGAAGGGATTGAAGAAGGGATTGAAGTAGAGCTTGAAGAAGAGACAAAGCTGAAGCTGAGGGTGAGCTAAAGATCGCTAATGAAAACATGAAAACATCGAGGAGGGTAGCCGTCAAAAGCTCGGCTTGGAGAATAACTTGAAGAAAGAGGCCGACTTGGAGAACAACTTGAAGAAGCAGTTGCACATAGCCGGCTTGAGGATGAGCATTTGGATGAAAAGGAAAATCTTCAACGACAAATCAAAGAGCATCAATCGAGTGGCTCGGAGATTGAAGAAGAGCTTGAAGAAGAGCTTGAAGTAGAGCTTGAAGAAGAGATTGAAGAAGAGCTTGAAGAAGGGCTTGAAGAAGAGATTGAAGAAGAGCTTGAAGAAGAGATTGAAGAAGAGCTTGAGGTAGAGCTTGAAGAAGAGATTGAAGAAGAGCTTGAGGTAGAGCTTGAGGTAGAGCTTGAAGAAAAGCTTGAAGTAGAGATTGAAGAAGAGCTTGAAGTAGAGCTTGAAGAAGAGATTGAAGAAGAGCTTGAAGAAGAGCTTGAAGAAGGGCTTGAAGAAGGGCTTGAAGTAGAGCTTGAAGAAGAGATTGAAGAAGAGCTTGAAGAAGAGCTTGAAGAAGGGCTTGAAAAAGGGCTTGAAGAAGAGATTGAAGAAGAGCTTGAGATAGAGCTTGAAGAAGAGATTGAAGAAGAGCTTGAGGTAGAGCTTGAGGTAGAGCTTGAAGAAAAGCTTGGAGTAGAGATTGAAGAAGAGCTTGAAGTAGAGCTTGAAGAAGAGATTGAAGAAGAGCTTGAAGAAGAGCTTGAAGAAGGGCTTGAAGAAGGGCTTGAAGTAGAGCTTGAAGAAGGGCTTGAAGAAGGGCTTGAAGAAGAGATTGAAGAAGAGCTTGAAGAAGAGCTTGAAGAAGGGCTTGAAGAAGGGCTTGAAGTAGAGCTTGAAGAAGAGATTGAAGAAGAGCTTGAAGAAGAGCTTGAAGAAGAGATTGAAGAAGAGCTTGAAGAAGAGCTTGAAGAAGGGCTTGAAAAAGGGCTTGAAGAAGAGATTGAAGAAGAGCTTGAGATAGAGCTTGAAGAAGAGATTGAAGAAGAGCTTGAGGTAGAGCTTGAAGAAGAGATTGAAGAAGAGATTGAAGAAGAGCTTGAAGAAGAGCTTGAAGAAGAGATTGAAGAAGAGCTTGAAGTAGAGCTTGAAGAAGAGATTGAAGAAGAGCTTGAGGTAGAGCTTGAGGTAGAGCTTGAAGAAGAGATTGAAGAAGAGCTTGAAGTAGAGCTTGAAGAAGAGATTGAAGAAGAGCTTGAAGTAGAGCTTGAAGAAGAGCTTGAAGTAGGAGCTTAGGTGGAGCTTGAGGTAGAGCTTGAGGTAGAGCTTGAAGAAGAGATTGAAGAAGAGCTTGAAGTAGAGCTTAAGAAGAGATTGAAGAAGAGATTGAAGGGAGCTTGAAGAAGAGCTTGAAGTAGAGCTTGAGGTAGAGCTTGAGGTAGAGCTTGAAGAAGAGATTGAAGAAGAGCTTGAGGTAGAGCTTGAGGTAGAGCTTGAAGAAGAGCTTGAGGTAGAGCTTGAGGTAGAGCTTGAAGAAAAGCTTGAAGTAGAGATTGAAGAAGAGCTTGAAGTAGAGCTTGACAATCAGTAACTAGTACCTACAAAGAAAAGAAAAAACTATCAGAAAAATGCACATTAAGGCAAAATATACATCATTTGATTCAAAATAGCAAAAAGTAATAAAGAAAAAAGCTGAAAGATCAAATAACCGCTTTAAAACTCTTAAATGAATTGAGAAACAAAGGAAAAGCGCACAAAGAAATCAAGTTACCAAAGCAGGTTGCCAAAAAGCACTATTGTACAATGTCTACTAAATAGTTGTCTACTGTCTACATAGTTGTAGTTATTCTACATAGTTATTCTACATAGTTGTAGCTATTCTACTATTCAAGCAAAATTATCAGAATGAATTGAGCAAGAATTGATCAAAATTGAGTTTTAAGTGTAAATATTTAGTAATCTAATAAATGAAAAGCAACTAAATAAATAATTACTTGAACTTTAGCCACTTAAACTTTTTAGATAACCAAAACCCGAGCTTTAGTAATCACCCGAGCTTTAGCAATCACCTAAACTTTTCCCACTTGAGCCACTTGAATCACTCGAACTTTAGTAATTACCGATTTGATCTTTATAACCCATACAACTACGGCAGAAACAATTTGGATTACTGTAACTCTAGATAGCCAATAGTTTAAAGAATTCCTGTAAAATTTAGGTGCAATGGATTACGGTAATTGAGTCAATTGAGTCAATTGAGTGATTGTAATTGTAATTGTAATTGTACAGTCTAACCAGTAATTGTAATTGAGTCAGTTTACTATAGGAAAGAAATAATATACTCAAGTATCTTTGATCTTAATATAAATTCAGGTTATGCCGGGAAAACGGATCGAGAAAGGGCATTGATCGACTCTTACTTTGAGCTTTATAAAGATTATCACGCTGAGGCGAAAACTTATTTCTATATGGTGGTTGGGTTAAAAGAAGGAAACAAGGCAAGTATCTACAGGGTTTTCTTTACCAGTACAATCTAACCAGTACAATCTAACCAGTCTAACCAGTACAATCTAACTAGTACAATCTAACCAGTACAATCTAACCAGTACAATCTACCCAGTACAATCTAACCAGTACAATCTAACCAGTACAATCTAACCAGTACAATCTAACCAGTCTAACCAGTACAATCTAACCAGTACAATCTACCAGTACAATCTACCAGTACAATCTAACCAGTACAATCAAACCAGTACAATCTAACCAGTACAATCAAACCAGTACAATCTAACCAGTACAATCTAACCAGTACAATCTAACCAGTACAATCTAACCAGTTCAATCTTTACCAATAGATTACTAGATTTCGAGCTCATTTTGTACAAGTTTAATCCTAAAAAGGAATGCTTAAGGCTAAAAATGCTTATCAAACGTTAACAACTTAAAGAAGTGAAATGATAATAAAAAAGAATTAACAAGAAAAAGCACTTATTTTTCTTCAAAATTCCTCTTTAAGCAGTTTTTAGAGCAGTTTTTATACGTAGATTACGAATTTTAAAATGGAAACTTGGGAAAAGGAGTTTTAAATCGAGTTTCGTGACTTGAAATTGCTTTTATAAGTTGCTGAAGTTGCTGAAGTTGCTCTTTTTACACCAAAAATTTCAGGAGAAAGCTTTCAAGAAAACGTTTATCCCAGCGAGAGATCGTTTTTTCACCTACATCGAAAAACAGTTGAAAAGCAATGTTGAAAACGGATTTTTGGTGGGTTTTTGATGAGTTTTTGATGAGTTTTGGATAGTTTTTGATATTTTTGATGAGTTTTGGATAGTTTTTGATGTTTTTGATGAGTTTTGGATAGTTTTTGATATTTTTGATGAGTTTTGGATAGTTTTTGATGTTTTTGATGAGTTTTGGATAGTTTTTGATATTTTTGATGAGTTTTGGATAGTTTTTGATGAGTTTTTGATAGTTTTTAATGAGTTTTGGATAGTTTTTGATGTTTTTGATGAGTTTTGGATAGTTTTTGATGAATTTTGGCTAGTTTTTGATGAGTTTTGGATAGTTTTTGATGTTTTTGATGAGTTTTGGATAGTTTTTGATATTTTTGATGAGTTTTGGATAGCTTTTGATATTTTTGATGAGTTTTGGATAGTTTTGATGTTTTTGATGAGTTTTGGATAGTTTTTGATGAATTTTGGCTAGTTTTTGATGAGTTTTGGATAGTTTTTGATGTTTTTGATGAGTTTTGGATAGTTTTTGATATTTTTGATGAGTTTTGGATAGTTTTTGATATTTTTGATGAGTTTTGGATAGTTTTTGATGTTTTTGATGAGTTTTGGATAGTTTTTGATAGTTTTTGATGAGTTTTGGATAGTTTTTGATGAATTTTGGCTAGTTTTTGATGAGTTTTTGATGAATTTTTGATGAATTTTGTCTTTTAACAAGTCTTTTAACAAAATTTGAAAGAAATATTGAATTTTCAACGACTTTCTTTCATTATTTTCAACTTGTGAATGACTTTAGGTTGGTGAGAGTCCATCTTATGTCGATTTACAAATCGCTGACCATGTGGAAACGATTTTACAGCATCATCCATTGGAATTGAGCGCTTTTCCAGAGGTTTGTGCTCAGGGAAAGGCTTTTAAGTGCTTTGTGCTCTTGTAAACACTCGTTTTCTAGCGCACTGAGCACAGAAAAGCACAGAAAAGCACAGAAAAAGATCGAAAAACGAACTCTCATCGATTTTTCAGGTGTTGGCGCACAAAAAACGTGTGGAAGCGATTCCCCGACTGAAGAAATATCTCGAAGACCGACCAAAGACTAAATTTTAAACGAATTGTGTCTATTTTGTGTATATTTTATGTATTTTGAATAAAATAAGAACTCAGATGGCCCCTGTGCCTCAACTTCCTCATTTGATGGTCACCAACCGAGCAACCTACGGTGGCACGTTTTCGTCATCGTTCTTTGACCATAGCCGGACTCGAACCAGGGTTAACCAGCATGGGAATCCCAGCGCTTAACCAATTAGCTAAATGGTAGCGAGTCGCTAGCTAGTAGAAAATGGTCAAAAAGGGGTGGACAACTCAACTGAAATTTCGAAATTTCAACTTTAACTTCAATTTCAACAACAAGTTTCAACGAAACTCTCAACTAAAATTTGAAATACAAATTTGGAATCAGAATTTGAGTTCATTCCGTCTACCATAATATATATTATTCCAGTAATAAAGCATTCGGGTAGAGTTTTTTTGAATTTTTCATAGGAATTAGTTCCAGTATTTGATCAGTAATCAGTTTGATACAGTAATCCATTCAAAAACCCAAATAACTTCAACAATCTTCAGTATATTGTTGAAGCATTCTTTGCTAAATAGCTTTCAAGCAAAGAAACTATCGTTTTGTTCTTTCCGTCTACGATAATATACTTTATTTCAGTAATAAAGCGTAACAAAAAGTTCCAAAACGAAAAAATAGAGAAAGTTTAGTTTATTGTAGTAAGATAGAGTTTAGCTTTGTTTTTTAGGATTTAAAGTCAGCTGTTTAAAGGTAGAGCTGTTAAAGGCAGAGCTGTTTAAAGGCAGAGCTGTTTAAAGTCAGAGCTGTTAAAGTCAGAGCTGTTAAAGTCAGAGCTGTTAAAGGCAGAGCTGTTTAAAGGCAGAGCTGTTTAAAGTCAGAGCTGTTAAAGTCAGAGCTGTTAAAGGTAGAGCTGTTAAAGTCAGAGCTGTTAAAGGTAGAGCTGTTAAAGGCAGAGCTGTTCAAGCCAGAGCTGTTAAAGGTAGAGCTGTTAAAGGCAGAGCTGTTCAAGTCAGAGCTGTTAAAGTCAGAGCTGTTAAAGGCAGAGCTGTTTAAAGTCAGAGCTATTTAAAGGCAGAGCTGTTAAAGGCAGAATCAGAGCGAAACCAAAAGCCAGGCCAGGACCTGGCTTCTGTTCTAGACTAACACACTATCCACTGCGCATCATAGATCGTAGACAAGCACACTATCCATTGCACACTATAGATCGTAGACTAGCACAGCAGACAGCAGACACTGCAGATCATAGATCGTAGGCTAGCATAGTCTCCACTGCACACTATAAATCGTAGACAAGCACACTATCCACTGCGCCACAAGCTTACAGTTTCGGAAACGAAGAGCTTTTAAATATAAGTAAATCGATTTTTCCATCCCAAATATCTTACAGAGCCCCATTGGAAAACCTAAAACCGGATTCGGAATCAGCGTAAAAAGTTCTATCATTTTTATCAAGTACTATCAAGTACACTGGATTTCATTTTTTGAGGCCATCTTGATCTGCCTTTCCCTCGTGAGTTCAACTGACCTTCAACTGACCTTCTAGCCTTGCTTATCCTGAAAGTCATAAGATCTAAAGCATCTCTATAACTCTCCTAGTTGGAAAGTTATAGAGATTTCATTCTTTATAGTTATAGAGAGAGTTATAGAGATTCTTTTCCATTCATTTCCCCTCATTGAGCCAAGCTATTGAGCTAAATATTGTAAATTAGAGATGCTGTGTAAACAAAATCAAATTTCGTGTACTGTTGTTGTGTTCAATTGATTCTAAATCATTGTATGCAAGAATAGACAAGAATTGAACTCCATTTAGAACCATTCACACATGTTTCGGAAGCGAAATTTTCTATTTGAACTTAGCAATTCGCGAGGTTAATCGGGTGGACAAGGAATTCGTGTCTCTCGTCTAGAAGAAGTGAAAACGAATAGAGACGTGGTCGTCTTTTGATTTCTTTCCCGTGAAAAAGAGGAGGAATCGACGATCGTTGGGTAAATATCACACAGACAAATGTATGGGAGAATCGGGAATTTTGGGAAATCGGTGAGAGAACGGGTGAGAGAAATATGAACAGTTTCGACAGTTTTTCTGCATCTGATCTCAATCTAATGTCTTATAGTTGCTTGAATATCAAGCTAGATTTCAATAAAGCTAAATGTTTTAACCAAATTTAAACCAGGTTTTGTAAGCCAGGCTAGTCCAGGGCAAGCCAGGCTAGTCCAAGGCAAGTCAGGCTAGTCCAGGGCAAGTCAGGCTAGTCCAGGGCAAGCCAGGCTAGTCCAGGGCATGCCAGGCTAGTCCAGGGCATGCCAGGTAGGGTCATGATCTATTCCAGTGACTCTTTAATGACAGCAAGCCAGTGACAGCTTAACACATTGGCGACCGGTGACCTAGTGGGCTCACCATGACACGTGGGCCACCGGTGGCCCCCGAATATACTGCCATCCGGGGCACGTGGGCCACTGGTCACCCCCGAATGGACTGCCATTTGGGACGATGTGGGCCACCAGTGACCCCCACTGGACTGCCATCCGGGCCCACGTGGGCCACCGGTCACCCCCGAATGAACTGCTATCTGGGTCCACGTGGGCCACCGGTCACGCCCGAATGGACTGCTATCTGGGTCCACGTGGGCCACCGGTGTCCCACAGTTACCTAAAAACTGATAAAGTTGATAAGAGACGGTATCTAGGGTTTTCAAAGATCGTGATTTCAAATTTAACAATTTTGAATATGACATTAGTTTGACAAGTCAAAATTCAACCCAAGTTGTCCTAAACTTGTCAAAAGACAACAGACAACAGACAAGAGAGATTTTTGAAAAAATCCCTAATCCCAGGAAGCTTTCATTCAACAAAATTCGTCGCCAATGTGTTAAACCTTTTGAAGAATGTCATTTTATTATCTCCAATTGAATGTTGTCTCTTTAAAAACGTCTGGTGAGTAATGTCGTTTCTCAAAGTGTCGTTTCTCAAAGGGAACACGGATTCCTTTACAAATTACATACTGTTCCGGTTTATCGAGAAGAAAAAAGGGGAAATCAGGCCTCTTTTCTGACAAGTTTTCAGTCAAACAAAGTGTAAGCTGCTTTGGAAATCTTTTTTTTTGTAAATGCCAATCTTGCAATGTAAATCTTTCTAAATCCCATCAAATTATTGTTTAGACTAAAGTTTGGCCTTTTTGATTGGCCTTTTGATTGGCCTTGATTGGCCTTTTGATTGGCCTTTTGATTAACCTTTTAATTGGCCTTTTGATTGGCCTTTTGATTGGCCCTGATTGGCCTTTTGATTGGCCTTTTGATTGGCCTCTTTCTACCATAATCTTGTCTCTATTTTTATCTAATAAATAAACTTTTGTCTAATTCGATTTCGAAACTAGACCTGCTTAAAGAGGGGCAAAATTTTCAGACAATCTCCATCGCTCTTCGATTTTTTTACTGCTCAAAGCTCCGTCGAGCATGAAACCCAGTTCTCTCGAAAGCCTTTGTTCTAAGCTTCATTTTGATACCAAACATGACTAGGTTCTGTTTTGTCATTCTTTAGATTTCGATCATTTTAGATCAAAATTTTCCGAACTCGTTAGCTAATCGAGTCCGGCGAAAGATTGATCAAAATCTAGAGAATGACAAAACCGAACCTAGTCTTTTTTAGTATCAAAATGAAGCTTAGAATAAGAGCTTGCGGGGGGAACTGGGTTTCATGCTTCATGGAGCTTTGAGCAGTAAAAAATCGAAAAGCGATGGAGGTCGTCTGAAAGCTATGGAGGTCGTCGTTCGCCCAAACTCGTTAAGCAGGTCTAATTTGGAATATTGAAAGAAAGAAAAAGTGAGATTGAATTTTAAAAAAGACAAGATTACGATAGAAAGAGAAAGAGAAAGAGAAAAGGCTTTAGAAAACGTTTTAGAAAACGGATTATAAAACGGATTAGTTAAGAGGATCATTTAAGAGTTGACTGTTAAGTTATTAAACTTAAAGATGAGCACATCTTTTCTAGCTTTGTTAAAGCCTAATTTTCTGCAAGAAATTCAAGACTTTAGTGCACTTAAGGGAAAATTAAAGACTAGACTTTAAAAGAGTTTTTTTGATCTGTCTTCGCACTTAGGTGTTCTTTTTTGCGCAGATCACAACCTGCTTCTTTTCTCTATCTCTTGCTATTGTCATCCACTGTTTCCTATCTTGGTTGTTCCTGGTTCAAAGTCTTCGACTTGCTTGTGCTGGTGCTTGTGTTGGTGCTTGTGTTGGTGCTTGTGCTGGTGCTTGTGCTGGTGCTTGTGCTGGTGCTTGTGCTGGTGCTTGTGCTGGTGCTTGTGCTGGTGCTTGTGCTGGTGCTTGTGCTGGTGCTTATGCTAGTTCGACTCTAGCCATCCTTTCTCTGACCGTCTCTGCCACTCTTGTGCTCTACCTCATTGCTGGTCTTCCGATGGGTCTTCTGGTCTCGTGGTCCTCGAAAGGAACCTCCTCGTGATCTGAGCCACTCTGTGATCCGTATCGTCGATCTGTCGTCTGTTCTTCTGGCTACATGGCCAGCCCATAGTCTTTTTCTCTCGATCACTTCCACTGGGTCTCTGAGTCCCGAGAGCTGGCGCATATCCGTAATTCTTAGGTCTTGGCTGAGCTGCGTATTGTGCCCGAGGAGGTTCCTTTCAAGGGCTCGATGCCCGTTCGGTGCTCGTTCGGTCTCAGGGCTCGTTCGGTGGTCTGTGTCGTGGCCCAGATCTCTGTCCCATAGCAGAGACGGTGCTGTCGAAGAGGTTTGCCCGAGTCCTCTAGTGATTCTTGAGTATCTTTGTGACTTCTTTGATGCTAGTGCTGTCCAGACCGTTCGTCTTTTAGAAGAATTTAAAAGAATTAAAGACTAATTAAAGAAAGGAAGGGTTTCTTTCCATTTTTGAGGAAAGTATCCACTCTGAAAGTGTTCTAAATTCAATTGATTGAATAAAACCTTGTGGATTTTATTGAACAAAGCCTTGTGGATTTTCCTATGATGTCAAAAACCCTGCAATTCTTTCGTTATCCCCTCCCGATCTCCCAAATC